AGTTGGACACAATGAATGATTGAAACTACTATGTGTATATTCAGACTATTTGCACCTTTGTTCTGCAAGAAGGCAATCAATTTTTTTCCTTGGCTTCATTCTTTTTCGTTCTTTGCTTTAGATCTGTGAAGGCGAACCTATGGCATGTGTGCTCGATGTGGCACACGGAGCCATGTTGCCTGGCATGCACAGCGTCGCCCATTCTTTTTCCGGGTTCCTGGAGCGCATGCGCACACAACGATCAGCTGGCCTTTGTGCGGGTGGCAGTGCCAGAAACCAGAAGAGATGGTCTTCCATTTTCCGGCGTGAGCATGCTCGCCAGCCAGCTGATTGGCGCATGCGTATGTGCGGCAGTAACCGGAAGACTTGCTGGCTGGAAGTACCTTATCCGGCACGTGTATGCCCCCTGGGCAGATCCTCTTCTTGGTCGCGGCCCTGACGAGCGCATGCACGAAGTGCTCCCTTTTTGTCATCATTGCTTTAGATGCTACCTAATCAAACTATACTTCTGCTGAATGGGCGTCTAGGACACTGGCCTGACCATGGGCTGAGATTTATTATCATTTCATGGCTGGGAAAAAGTGACAGATATGATAGAAAGAGCAACTTCCCAAAGAGTTACCAAGAGCTGTTCTAATTGTATTACAATGCTATTTGCAGATTTGCTCCTTTCAGCTTATAGAATAGGAGTAGCAAAGAAAATAAGAAGAAAATAAGTAAACACTTAGTTTTGGAAATGTTGTCAACATTTGATGGCAAGCTTCATACCACGCTTGGCTGTATATCTTAGTTCTTCATTTAAACCCTTTTTCGGAACTTGGCTTATAGCAATAGCAATTAGACTTATATACTGCTTCAAAGTGCTTTACAGGCCTCTCTAAACAGTTTACAGAGTCAACATATTGCCCCCACCAATCTGGGTCCTCATTTTACGGACGTTGGAAGGATGGAAGGATGGGTCAACCTTGAGACAGTCAGAATCGAACTCCTGGTTGTGAGCAGTGAGTTAGCTTGCAATACTGCATTCTAACCACTGTGCCACCACAGCTTCAGTAGAACGCTCTATTAGCAGACAAAAATGACGCCATGTATACATAAAAGACTTGCCTGCTGTAGTACACGAAAATCAAAGTCTATACAGTGATACCTTGGTACTCGACTGCTTTGAAACTCATCAAATTTGCTACTCAACACATTTTGACGGGAAAATTTCGTCGTTTGTTTGGTACTCAACACACAAGCTAGAATTTATCGGTGTTGGCTGTCTTGTGACTCACTACATTATTCCTTATGGGAAAAATTTGTTTGGTACTCATTGTTTTGAGTACTCATTGTGCCTCCTGGAACCAATCAAGGATGAGTACCAAAATACCACTGTATAAATCAAGTCAAAAAGTGCCTGGTACTCTCTGAGTTTGCTTGTTTTCTTGCAGATGTTTTGCCCTAGCACTGATGATGTTACCTAGTTTGGGTAACAAAACGTCTGCAAGAAAACAAGCTGTCAGGGTTCCAAGTGACACGCCCAACGAAAGAAGACTCCAAGGCTTGAAGTTCCTCAAAGTTCCATTTTATTAGAGATGTCATATTGGCACATCTGGGAAAACCTGAATCTGAAAGCTTCCAGGTTTTCCCCACCCAAAAGAAAGTCCAAGTCCCTGCCCAGCACCCACAAGTCCATCACGTGGCCCAATCAAAGCACCATCCCAACTGGAGAGGCCTCCCAGTTCGACCCCTCCAGTTGCAGGGCAAGATGTCCTTGACTCTCTGAGAAAAGAATGTTATTATGACTATATATCATCCATGCTCCATACAATCCCCGCTCCCAGTTTCCCATAGTAAGAAATGTGGCAGGCCTAAAGGCCCAATGCAAAATATGGTTTCCAGGCCTGGCACAAGCTCGCTCAGAGAACACCACGGATCCTTCATGTCAACCCTGAGCTACAAATATTCTTCTTTATTAGTACCAAGCTAGGGGTTTTCCTCCTCTTTTTCTAATTCAGTGGATGCTTAGGTATCCTCTCCAGATGTCTACAAGAAGCATCTAATAACAGTTCTCTCTGGCTTGGGAATTTCTCATTATTACTTTCCCCCAACTTCATTCCTTACAACTAGGGAGATTTACTTTCTAAGACCATGATTTAATTTATCTGAACGATGGCTGGATGTGTGGTGCAAGATAGATTGAACCACACATGGCCTGGTAAAAATATACCTGGCCAAATATGCAGAGAATTTTTCAAGAGGGCTTGAAACTGAATCCTGTGAGGGTTGAAAGAAAAACCAGAAAGAAACATCAAAATTAAACTCTAATGCATTGTAGAAGAAAGTAGGAATGTTGATGTTACGAAACATTAACCAGTCAATGAAAAAAAAAATCAGAAAGAACATTGGAACATAAAGTTCACGGCCATTTTTTAAAAATACATGAATGCCTCAATTATGGCAAATAAATAAGATGAGATTGAATTCCTAATACAAAAAAGACACATGACTCATAAATGTAACTGTGACCTGTTAAGATGACTCCCATGTTTGGAACATAGCAATTGAAGTGTACAATTTGTTCAAAAAGGAGCAGAAGCAATGGAAAAAGTGGAGGAGTTCCACCGATATGCTAAAAATACAGGTAGTCCCCAATTTATGACCACAATTGAAACCAGAATATTGATCATTAAGTGAGACGGCCATGCAAACCGCTTCGCTCAATGAGCACAATCTCGACTCTCCCAGCTGTGGTTGTTAAGCAACCACACAGGTTGTTAAACCTTTGAGGCATGGGGGTGCCTCAAAAGGGGGGGAAAGCCTTGGAGGCCCCAGACCACCAGACCCTGGAGGCCTCGTCCGGCTACAGAGCCCAGCAGCGTGCGCAAAATGCTCCATTTACCTTTGCGTTGCTCTGCAGCTACTGACAGGTACACCCAACCAATGCGAGGCATGCACTTTCTGCAAGTGGGTGACATTCTCATAATCATATGGAAGGTTCTTGCAATTTATGCTCTCTATGGAGCCCTATCACTGGCTGAGGTCTCCTGGGCGGGATGGGGTAGGGAGCATGTTCTTAAGTTTCATTTCTGCACCAGGGGTGGGTTCTAAATTTTTTTACTACCGGTTCTGTGGGCGTGGCTTATTTTATGGATGTGGCTTGGAGGTCATGTGACTAGGTGGGCGTGGCTAGCTGGTCAGAGTCATTTCTGGAAGGTCCTCGCACTTACGACCAGTCCTCGCACTTACGACCCGACTCATTTGTTTGCTTTTAACACTGATCAGCTGTAGGATGGCCCTTTGAAGCCCCGCGGCAAGAGTTTAAACAGGTTTTTTCCACTCTAGTCATCAACTGGGACTCAGGAGGCAGCAATAGATTGGGGATGGGACCAAATAAAAGGTAAGAATAATGTCGGGGGTGGGGGGGAGAACCGGTTCGGTGATGTCATATCGTCACCGCTACCGGCTCAGCCGAACTGGACCGAACCGGGAGGAACCCACCACTGTTCTGCACCCCATGGATGTCAACTCCCCTGGGCCAATAGCTCTTTCAGCCAGCCCCAAGAGATAAAAAGGAGTCTTTTCAACAGGTGGCAGCAGCTTGCAACTTCTCTGCCAATTTCCCCATTGACTTTCTGGGGAAGCCAGCAGAGAAGATCGCAATTGACAATCACATGATCACCGAGTACTTGGCAACCAGTCCAGTGGTGGGTTTCAAATTTTTTTACTACCGGTTCTGTGGGTGTGGCTTGGTGGCCGTGGCAGGGGAAAGATACTGTAAAATCTCCATTTCCACCCCACTCCAGGGGAAGGATACTATAAAATCTCCATTCCCTCCCCAATCCAGGGGAAGGTTACTGCAAAATCCCCGTTTCCTTCCGATCAGCTGGGACTTGGGAGGCAGAGAATAGATGGGGGCGGGGCCAGTCAGAATTTTTACTACCGGTTCTCCGAACTACTAAAAATTTCCACTACCGGTTCTCCAGAACTGGTCAGAACCTGCTGAAACCCACCTCTGAACCAGTCCTAAATGCGAACAGATTGCGAAGAATGCAGTCATGTGACTAAGGTGTGTGTGTCAGCCAATGTTTTACGATGGCCATAAGTGCTTTGCAAACCATAAACCACCCTTTGCAAAGCTGTTGTAACTTCTAAGGGTCACTGAACAACAGGGAGTAAGTTTAGGTTACCTGAACACATTCGGAAATGTAAATGATATTGCCAATACTGTAGATGGTATTTGATTAAAATAAATAGAAGAATGAATGAAAGCATTATTATTATCGCTATCTACTAATGCCTGTTTATAACAAACATCATCCCCCCCCAGAGATTAGAATGCCACCCCCTTCCAGAAGGCACTGAAGACCTGATTCTGCCAGAAGGCCTGGGGAACCCAGAGTGGGATGGAGCCCATTAAATGGCTTACGTGATGTGTTGTTGCCAGAGTGAGGGGTGGGGGGCTATTATATTATTTTATTATTTTCTTTTATTGGTTTTATTTTTTATATGTGATGATTTTCTATCCCCATAAGTCGCCTTGAGTCGCCATGTGCGAATAGGCGGCAATATAAATTTTCTAATAAATAAATAAAAATAAAAGTAAGGTGTGGAATCAAACAGCAGTTCTTTAAAAGAGCATTAAGTAATAGCAATGGAACTCCAATCACTGGAAGTAAATTCTGTTTTGAGTGTTAGGAAAACATTTGTAATTATAAGAGCAGCTTGATAGTAGAAATAACTTTTATTTATTTTTCTAATTTATATCCTCGCCCATCTCACCAGAAATGACTCGGTATTTATTTATACATCAAAGTATACATTATATAATTATTTAGAGAGATAGCAAGCTATTCTTTGCTAGATGTTTTCATGCAAAAGTGCCACCATTTGTCATTGATGCTTTAATTTAGAAACGAGCACAGAGTACTTGATGACCTACATAAATGATACCTTCAATTCATGACACCAAAATGCTATAATCATAATATTTTGCATGCACTATTTTCTCAATTCACCTGCATATTCTAGGTGCCAGATCCACCGTCTGTACAGCAACTCACAATTACCAGGTACGTCAGTCATGGCGCAGTGCACAGCCACCTGGAAAGGACAAGTGACAGCTCACCGTTAACAATGTGTGGTCTAATTTCTCCACATCACTTATCTCACTGCAATCTGCTTTATAATTGAGGCAGCTACTCGCTGTTTTTGTCTTTTTGCCTTTGTATGTGTGTCTGTTTACAAGTAGTCCTCGACATACAACCACAGTTGAGCCCAAAATGTATGTTGCTAAGCAAGACGGTTAAGTCTTGCTTAACTTTTCTTGCTGCAGTTGTTTAGTGAATCATTGAAGTTGTTAAGTCAGTAACACGGTGGTTAAGTGAATCTGGCTTCCCCATTGACTTTGTCAGAAAGTCGCAAAAGGTGATCACATGACCCTGGGCAGGAGTCTGCAACCTTAAACACTCAAAGAGCCATTTGGACCAGGGGTGAAATGTAAAATATGTTACTACTGGTTCTGTGGGTGTGGCTTGGTGGTGGTGAGGTAATATGACTGGGTGGGCGTGGCCAACTTTTTTTTTTTTTTTACTTTTCAAAGCATGTTTTCTAATGCTTTGAAAAGCCTCTCTGCTGATCAGGCAACTCAGTTGGGATCGTCAGAGACTTTTCAAAGCATTTTTTTTAACCACCTCTTCGGCCAAGAGGTTGCAGAAAAAAATGCTTTGAAAAGCCTCTGAGGATCCCAGCTGAGCTGTGCGATCATCAGAGGCTTTTTTTTTTTTTAACTTTTAAAAGCATTTTTTCGTCGGAAGAGGTTGTAGAAAAAATGCTTTTAAAAGTAAAAAAAAAGCCTCTGATGATCGTGCAACTCATCTGAGCATGGTGGGGGGGGTGCAGGGATTTTTGCTACCCGTTCTCCAAACCACCACCCGCCATCGCTACCGGATCGGGCGATCCGGTCCGAACCGGGAGCATTTCACCCCTGATTTGGACCCATTTCCCACAGAAAAGAAAACACTGGGAGCCACAAAACCCTCCCCACGCCTGGCTATTTCTTGAGCGGCCACCAAACTAGCATATGTAGTTGAATTAAACCTTCTGTTTTCTTCTGAAACTTTTCTTTTCTTGGATTTATCCATGGTTGGCCTACTGGGGGTTGAAAAGCTTAATAAATCACATGCCGGCAGGTGTCGCACATTGGCGGCTGTGACGCATATTTTGAGTGACAGAGAGTCGCAGCAGAGGGGTGAAAGAGCCACATGCGGCTCCAGAGCCACAGGTTGCTGACCCCTGACCCTGGGAAACTACAACCGTCATAAATATGCATCAGTGCCAAGTGTCTGAATTTTGATCATGTGACCATTGGGGAATGCTGCTACAGTCGTAAGCGAGAAAAACAAGTCACTTGTTCAGTGCCATTGTAACTTTGAACAATCACTAAACGAACTGTTGTAAATCAAGGACTAACTGTGCCCTCAAATCAGTTTTTGACTCCTGGTGACTGCCTAAGCTAGTCTCTGCAGTTTTCTCGGCAAGGTTTTCTGGAAGGGTTTGCCATTGTTTCCTTCTTCCTTAACAGGAACTGAGAGAGAAAGTGACTGGCGAAAAGTCACCCACCTGGCTTTCCTGCCTAAAGCAGGACTAGAACTCACAATCTCCCAGTGGTTGGCCCAAAAACATCCAGCTGACTTCGTGCCTAAGGCAAGATTAGAAGTCACATCTCCTGGTTTCTAGCTTGGTGCCTTAACCACTACTACACCAAACTGACTTCACTCCCTATTAGAATAGAATAACAGAATTGGAAGGGACCTTGGGAGGTCTTTTAGTCCAACCCCCTGCTTAGGCAGGAAACCCTATTGTCAGCCTTGGAGGCCATCTTTTTCTTTAGATCTTCAGGGCGGCCAAATGTAGTGCTGTGGGAAACTGGGAGGGGGGATTGCATGGAGTTGTAGAGATATCTAGCCATAATAATATTCCTTTCTTTGAGAGTCAAGGACGTTCAGCCTGCACCTGGAGTGGTGTGACTGGGGGGCATCTCCAGTTGGGACGGTGCTTTGATTGGACCACGTGATGGACATGTGGGTGCAGGGGAAGGGACTTGGACTTTCTTTTGGGTGGGGAAAACCTGGAAGCTTTCAGATTCGGGTTTTCCCAGATGTGCCAATATGACATCTCTAATAAAATGGAACTTTGAGGAACTTCTAGCCTTGGAGTCTTCTTTCGTTGGGGGTGTTACTTGGAACCCAGACAAAAATGGTTATCCAATCTCTTCTTAAAAACTTCCAGTGTTGGAGCATTTACAACCATTAGAAGGTTGTAAACCAGGGCTCAATAAAAGAATATTTTTGAAAAAACCCTGTTGCAAGCAAGACACTTTTAGGTCCAAGGATATTTAGATTATTCCTGCAGAGAACATGGAGGGATCTATTTAGCTGCCATTGAGGTGCAGTGGTTAGAAAGCTTGACTGAGACCAAGTAAACCAAGATTCAGGTTTCAAATTAACCACAGAACCCAGTGGGCAACTTTAAACCAATCACTGCCTCTCAATCTAACCAACCTTTACAGGGCTATTGTGAGCAAAACTGAGAGGTGATTTTCATTACATCACCTTGAACTTCTAAAAAAAAAAAGAGAGAGAGAGAAACACATATCAGAAATTAACAAACACACCCACAGCCATTGACAGATTGCCAAAAGCTTTTGCATCAGTGCCCCAACTGAACTCATCGTATTCCCGCTGGATTTATTAACACCTTTTTTTTCAGGATTTTTCCTTTGCTTCAGAGTAATCCCAGTTGCCACAGGAATCACAAGAGAGCCAAGGGGGCAGTTTGCAAATCAATTTGATTTGGCAAATCAATTTAAACCTCACACCAACAACCTCCTTCTAGAAATGAAGCACTCCTTAATTGTCCCAGGGTGCACAACTACCTGTGTACCCTGCACTTCCTCATGCCAATGCATTTATTTATTTATTTGTTCGATTTATATGCCGCCCTTCCCTGGAGACTCAGGGCGGCTTACAATGCATTAAGCCTTCATACTTTTGTATATACCTGCTTAATAGGGCTTTTTGGTCTGCCCTAAGCGGTGTTCTATTTTATACAAAATCAGTTTATTGCCCCCACAAACCGGGCCCTCATTTTACCTACCTCGGAAGGATGGAAGGCTGAGTCAACCTTGAGCCTGGTGAGAATTGAACTCGCAGTAATTGCAGGCAGCTGGCAGCTAAGTGCTTCTTTAACAGGAGTTTAGTCCGCTGCGCCACCAAGGCATCTCCCCCCTTCCCCCCACCGCAACTATTTGATTATTATCCAGCCTCTTCCCCCCCCCCACTCCAAAAATTTGAAACCATTTCCATAACTGGGAATTTTACCCCAATTTTAAACTTTTCACATAACAAGAAGGCACCACATTCCCACTAAAGCCCCAATGCTTTTCGTTGCTTTGAACCGGGATTTCAAACCCCAACCATCTGCATCGATGACAGACGGGAAGAGCGCCTCTGAGCATGTGCCAAGGGCACTTTCTCTCGCCGCCAAAGGGGAGATGGGAGGGAGGAGACAACAGATCTCTCTAGCTCAGGTTGGGACCTTCTGGCTTTCCAAAAGCGTCCCGGGTCCTTCGCCAGCGGTCCGCGCGCCTCGTTCCCCTCCCACGCCCACCTCCCATGGCTGGAGATCTGCAGTACGAACCGGGACGGGATTCCGAGGCTGATTTTCTCTTTCCCGCCGATTCGGGTCCGGACAGCTCCTTCCCCATTTGATAACTCCCAGGAGGCTGTTTGGAGTTTCTATGGAAACCAGAGAGTCCGGCTGGGCGGGGAGGAGGCTACACTTTGCCCTCTCCCCATTTTAATTGTGTGTTGTTGTTTTTTTTTAATTATGATCGCGTTCGGGCAGAATGGGTGATGCATTCCGGTACACCGGAAAATCATTGCGATGAATGAAGAGGGTTGGGGTCGGGGGTGGGGGCGAAGCACATTTCATAACTAGGAGCTCGCTCTCTCTCTCTCTCTCTCTCTCTCTCTCTCTCTCTCTCTCTCTCACACACACACACACACACACACACACACACATGAAAAAGGCGATGCCCCTCTTTTGAAACCACTTACCCTCTTCCAGATCAATCAATGGCCACCCTAGAAAATGCGGGAAACCGCCCTTTTAAGGGTCTTGCATTTTCCCAGGCAGATGCTTCCCGCCTCTTGCCCGCCCCTTTTGGTGGGCTGTTGATCTTTTTTAGACTGTATTTGGGTTAAATGCGCCGAAAAGGAAAAGGGGAGAGCAGATCCATTCCAGGTGACCACATGTCTGGTGAGACGGGGATGCCAGGATCACTGAAAACAACCGGACATGCCTTGGAGCAGAAGCCTGTGGAGGAAGTAAAACTAGAGGGAGATGTCCCAAGAGTGTGTGTATGTGTGTGGTATTCAGGGGACAAGGTGAAATGATGGTTGGGCGGGCTTTGGCTTTATGTGATCTGTGAGCCTTCCCTTAAGCACTTATGAAAGTCACATCAGATAAATCCATTCCTAAGAATCCATTCCTAGAGACAGAGATCTTAGCAAACTAGGATGGAAATCTCTATGGAAATTCTCGGTCATCCAGGTCATAGTTGTCCCAAAGGTGCTTTTTCAAGAGGCAATTGGACTTTCCGGTTTTTCTTTTGAAGACGAGTTTTCCTTCTCATCCAAGAAGCTTCTTCAGCTCTGACTGGATTGATGGTGGGGATGGAAAGGCATCAACCTAGTTGAATGCCAACTAAGAAAAAGGTCTTCTCATTAGTCACTGTGGGAAGCCCCCCCCCAAAGCAGCCCCAGTTTCCTGCATAGTAAAACAGCCCCCAATAAATGCCTGAAGTCTTTAGAGAAGGATATTTTGTGCCCTTTAAGAAAGCCTGGACCAATCTATTCACAAACAAAAGACCTTCAGCTCCAGGTAATGGGATTAAGAATTGGCGTTCCCCCACCCAAATTCTAAAGACAGGTGTAGGAAGTTAGCACCCACCCCTTTCCTGGAAGAGTGAAATATTTTGGGACGTATGAAAAGGGCAGAATATTATATTTCCCTGGATGAGAAATGGAGAAGCATATTTTACAGACAAAGCAGCTCCCACCTTCCTGCCCCCCACCCTTTTGTCAATGGGCCATTAAGGCCTGGGCCAGTCTATGCTACATAACAAAGATCTGCCTCCTTCAGGCAGAGCCATAGTAGGAATTGCCAAAGATCCAACAAAGATAGGATTAGCCCTCTACACAATAGCAGCAGAAACTCACCACATGTGATCTAGGAAGCACATGTGACCATCGGCTAGCTAAGACCCCCACCCCCTGGGAGTCTGACAACCAATCAGGATACTCTTTTGGGGCCCCAAGAAATGCAGAGTCAGAGAGAGCATAAAAACCCGAGGATTTACTGTATCTGCCCCTTTTCTGTTCAGGAACTCAAGCCATGTGATCCTGTCCACCATTAAACCATCTTTCCAAAACATCTTTCCATGTTTCCAGTGTCTTTTTCCCCACTTGGAGCAGAACCTAGAAGGATGTTTCTTCCAACACAGGACTTGACCTTTTAGGACATAATACCCTGTTTCCCCCAAAACAAGACATCCCCTGATAATAAGCCCAATCGGGCTTTTGAGCGCATGGTAATAAGACCAAGCGCTTATTTCAGGGTTCAAAAAAATATAAGACAGGGTCTTATTTTCGGGGAAACACGGTAGGATTAACTCACCACTATTGAAATACCAAAAGACACAAGCGCCTTCATTGCACCATCCCCAGAACAGTTCAAACTTCAAAGTCACAGAAACCTATAAAGATCCATCCACTCATTCAACCATTTTGTCAGCTGTCCCAGAACCACATGCTGTAGGTCCGTGATGACGAACCTATGGCACGCGTGGCAGAAGTGGCACACAGTACCCTCTCTGTGGGCACACGAGCCGTCACCCAGTTCAACTCCGCCGCATGTGCACTGGTCTCCCACCGGCCAGCTGGTCTTCAGGTCCCTGCCATGCATGCGCGGGGGTGCGTGCATGGGGGGGCACATGCACATGCAGGGGTGCATGCGGGGGACGCACGCATTGCATTTTGGGGGTTTGGGCACACACGCTTTGTGCACTCTGTCTGGAAAAGGTTACCCATCACTGCTGTAGGTAGATTCTGCTCAATAATAAACTTTCTTTCTTAAGCAGCCTCCATTTTATTCCTGGCTTGGAACTGGAACTGGATTTTCTTCCTACACCACATTCTATTACAGAAGGACTTAGTCCAACAAGTCCGCCTCCTACCTTTATTTGTGAATAGAGATTATTTTTTTTAAAAAAAACCCTGATATGAGCCGAGGTGGCGCAGTGGTTAGAGTGCTGTACTGCAGCTACTTCAGCTGACTGCTAGTTCAGCAGATCAGCGGATCAAATCTCACCGGCTCAAGGTTGACTCAGCCTTCCGTCCTTCCAAGGTGGGTAAAAGGAGGACCCAGATTGTTGGGGGCAATATGCTATTTAGTATACTGTCTTTGGTGTAAACCGCCAGAATCCTTGGAGAGTGGGCGGTATAGAAATATGAATAATAAATAAAATAATATTCCTGCAAGCTTTTATGGTAAATTATGAAAAAAATTCACACTAACCGAGTTCCTTTGTTGATTGGATGCCGCTGTAAGTAGTTCTCGTGCTTCATGAGGGTAGTATTTTAAAACATTAACATCCCAAAAGTGAGCTTGCTAGCATTTCCCTAACATGCTGCTCATCCGGTTACCTTGCTAGCTTGAATGAATCATTTCACATTTCTGTCTTGAATTGTGATCAAAGCTAAGCAAGCAGAAAAGGATGTTCAGAGACAAAGCATATGCGGCTCAAATGGGATCTAGTGAGACTGTTTATGGGTCATTAACAAGCAAGCCCCCTGTGCTTGAGGCCTACCTTTAAAGAGGATGAAAGGTATTGTTGAGTCAACTGCATGGAACTTACAGAGTGTTCACGGTATCTTAGCTATGACATCAGAAGGCACCAGAACCATTTCACGGGCCAAACTTCCATTTCTTTTCTCTTGTGCTTCTGCTTCCCGACTCATTAATCCAAAATTGAGGAGACGTCTGCTACTTTCATTCCAAAAGACGGGAATAATGCCTTTATTTCGGTATTACCGTCCATGGATTTATAGAAGGTACACTGCTAGACTGGGTACTGTTTATGGCGAGACCTCCTGGGACCAGACCCAGCTGAGTAAAGTAAACCAGGAATACCTCAGCCGTGACTTCTTATGTTCAGCCAGGCACCCAATAAGATTGCAAGAAGCGTGAGGTAAGAGGCTTTATGTGTAATGTTAATGTTTTAAAATACTACCCTCATGAAGCACGAGAACTACTTACAGCGGAATCCAATCAACAAAGGAACTCGGTTAGTGTGAATTTTTTTCATAATTTACCATAAAAGCTTGCAGGAATATTATTTTATTTATTAGTCATATTTCTATGCCGCCCACTCTCCGAGGACTCTGGGCGGCTTACACCAAAGACAGTATACTAAATAGCATATTGCCCCCAACAATCTGGGTCCTCCTTTTACCCACCTTGGAAGGATGGAAGGCTGAGTCAACCTTGAGCCGGTGAGATTTGATCTGCTGATCTGCTGAACCAGCAGTCAGGTGGCAACAAAATTGCAAATATGACGTTCAATGATCTAAAAGACCACGGGTGTCAAACTCGTAGTCACATGCCGTCACATGATGTATCGCAATGTTTTTTTCTCTTCACGGAGCTGGGGTGGGCGTGGCCTTCATGTGATGCATCCGGCCCATACGGGCCGCCAGTTTGATACCGCTGATCTTGGCCACAGGTAGAGAACCTGTGACTGCATAAATGCTGCTGGCAGTTCCTAGAATTCCTCCCGATTGGCCACAACTGCTAGGATACATAGATGTTTGAAATAAACTTTCTCTTCCTGATTTAGATTTCTGTCTTAGGCCGAAAACAAAACACACACACATATACAATGTCTGCATGAATTTTGCCAGCAGTGCATCAGATCAAAACAATCCTCACCTTCTTTTTGCTGATTGCAGTGTATCTGTGTCTAAACTGCAATAGCAGTTGCACTGAGGGAGGATCAAGGCCACTTTTTATATAAGAAAGGGAATATCATAATATCATTTTATAATTTGTCAAGACAACAGAGGCCTTTGGGTGGGGGAATAGTATTGGAGGGAAAAGTTTGAAGTAAGTTTGTTGGTTTTTATTTGTATCTTTTCAAGAATGAGGTGGGGAAGGAATCATCTACTTGCTACTCAAGTGCTTCCCCAGTGGCTTAAGTTTTTTCATTGTTTTAAAACTTTCTAAATACCAACACCTTGATCTTATTCAGATAAAAGGTATCACACTGTTGAAACCATACCACTAAGTATCACTGCAAGCCAGTAGGAAGAGAAAATTGAATTGTGAACTCCGTTTCTAAATATTAGGAAAAGGTATAGCAAAGCCAACTTGTTAAAATCATTATTTCAAACATAGGCACTCACAAATAATCTCATGTTTTTTTAAAAAAAAATAGGAATTTGGGCTGGATATGAGAAGGGCACACATTTATAATGTATTAACAGTGAAAAAGTCTACAGAACTGATTTGCCTTCTTTGAGCAATGCAAAAAAAGAATAAGCTATAAAGATGCCAACGTAATTCTGCATTTCTCCCTTTGTGGCTTATTGAGTCATTGGCCGGTACGCTCTCAGAGGGGCTCCTCCGGGTGCCGTTGGCCAAACAATGTCGACTGGCGGCCCCCAGGGGGAGAGCCTTCTCTGTGGGGGCACCTACTATCTGGAATGAGCTCCCGCCGGAGATACGGAGGATCCCGGATCTGCGCACCTTCCGCCATGCTCTTAAGACCTTTTTATTCCATCAGGCTGGCCTAGCCTAATCTTTTCCCTTTTTAAAATGTAAATTTTAATCTGTTTTAAATTATTGGGGTGTTTTAAATCTGTCTTGGGCCAAAATTGTTTAATTCGGTTTTACTTTGCTTTTAAATTTTGTATTTATGTGTTTTATCTGTGGCTGTTCACCGCCCTGAGTCCTTCGGGAGTAGGGCGGTATATAAATCAAATAAAACCTAAATCTAAATCTAATTATGATGCAACCAGAAATTCAAAACCCTCCCCAGACAGCTTGTCAAGATGGAAACGTCTTTGGAGTCTCAATCATCCAGGCCAGGGGTCTGCAACCTTAAACACTCAGAGAGCCATTTAGACCTGTTTCCCACAGAAAACACCAGGAGCCACAAAACCCTTCCCATGCCTGACTATTTCTTGAGCAGCCACAAAACTAGCATATGTAGTTGAATTAAACATTGTTTTTCTTCTGAAACTTTCTTTTCTTGGATTTATTCATGGTTGGCCTACCGGGGGTTGAAAAGCTCATTAAATCGCATGCCAGCAGGTGTTGCACATTGGCAGTTGTGACGCATATTTTGAATGACGAGCCGCAGCAGAGGAATGAAAGAGCCACATGCGGCTCCAGAGCCGCAGGTTGCTGACCCCCTGATCCAGGTCATGGTTGTCCCAAAGGTGCTCTTCCAAAAGGCAATTGGTTTTTTTCTTTGAAAACGTTTCGCTTCTCATCCAAGAAGCTTCTTCAGTTCCAACTCATAGAACTGAGGAAGCTTCTTGGATGAGAAGTAAAATGTTTTCAAAGGAAAAAAAAAATCCACATTTTAAACATTGCCTTTGGGGCATGACGGAAATGTATCAGGAACCCCAGTAAAGCTAGACAAGAATCCTTACTTCAGGAGGCAAAGACAAAAAGGCTTTAATAGGTTAAAGTAAGAAAGATACAGCAAGTGCCATAGCAAAAAAGAAACGAGAGTTACAGATTCCAGCTCCGTCCCATTCAGCTGATGCCTGGCCTGGCCCCCGCCCTTCCCCCACCCCACCCCACCCCACCCCCAACCCCAGTTCCTTCTGGCACAGGTATGGAAAGGGAAACCAGGGCAGAATCAGGAGGCAGTGCAGTGTTCAGAATGCTCTGATCCCTATAGGAATGGAGAAGATGGATGGGGAAAGAGCACTTTCTCCAGGTTATGGAGTGACTTGGCACAAAAAGGGTTGCCGTTTACAACACCCAACTTGCCTGCAATCATGACCCTTACACATCAATAGGAAGGTGGATCAAGGTAGTCATCCAGCAATCACCTCTGAACAAAAGGCTCCAAGCCTGGCCATCGACTCATCAAATGACAGAAACGGTCCAGGTCTCTCCCCCCCCCCCCCCCCCCGGTCCACGCAGTACAGAAAATGGCAGGTTTATTTATTTTATTTTTTTTGTCAGCGATTGCAGGCAATCTTTTTGCATGCACATCAACTGAACTGGAACTCCCCTAGCAATTTCTGCAGAGGGTTGCTAGAGCAACCAATCCCACCTTCTCCACTAGTACATTCAGGGAGACAAATTACAGCAAGTGATCATGTATTAAAAAAAAAAAAAAGAATATCAAGTCAACACAATCTTATACAAGCACAGTTTTGTTTCAAAAATATTAAAAAGCACCCTCCCCCTCCCCTCCTCCCGACCCCGGGCACACTGGCGAGAACGGTGAACAGCTGGGGGCAGCCCTCGCAGGTCTAGCCGCTTCTCATTTCACTCCTGAGCTGTGGCCTCTCTGTAGCCGCCCTAAGGTAGCGGGGCAGAGAGGATGAGAAAGCAAAGCTGTGGATTCCAGCCCTTGGTCTAAAACTGGGGAAGGAAGAAAAAAGAAATCGGTTAATTCAAAATTGTTATGACTGCTGCTCATATAATACAAATTAACCAAGGCAAACACCATCAGTGTCTTCTCACACACACACAGGTACCCACAATATAATCACTGCAGGTTTTAGGACAGTATTCTAGAGCAGGGCACTTCTTTCTCCTTCTGTCCCGGCCACTTTTTACAGAGGCACAATTGAGAGCGTTTTGACAAACTGCAGCACTGTTTGGTTCGGTAGCAGCAGTGCCTCAGATAGAAAGTCCATACAGAGAGTGGTAAGGACAGCCGAGAAGGTTATAGGAAGCTCGCTCTCCGTTATTCAGGATACTGCTTATAAATGCTATGTGCTTAGACCTCGAAGCATTCTGAGAGACTCCACACACCTACTTCACGATCTGTTTCTGTTGCTCACCTCTGGGAGGAGGTTTTGAAGTATTTCTAGCAGGACTTCCAGATTGTGTAACAGCTTTGTTCCCTATGCCATCCATCTGGTAAACTCACAAGATTTGTTTTTCTTGCCATGCACATGTATCCGAACTAGACTGTGTTGTTTCTCTGTATCATATAATATATGTGGGTATATGCATAATTTTGTATTTATTTACTTTGTTATGTTTATGTAGTGTATATTGGAGGTGGTGACCCTTTGAGAGCTGTATGCAATGAAATATCATTTTAATGTATGCCGATTAGTGTACATTCAAAGTGACAATAAATTTAGTCTAAGTCTAAGGGCTTTTCAAACTTCTCCATACTGCAAAACCTGTTTATTCCAAAAATAAATCCTCGAACCGTAATCCACAAAACAGTAGCCATGGTGTTTCTTCATTGGCGAACAAGGCCTATTTTTTCCATAGTACAGGTAGTCCTCGACATACGACTCTAGTGGCGCTTGTCCATCATGGTTGCATATCTTAAGGGCAGTGGTGGGCTGTTCCATAGTCACAAGGGTTCAGGCAAACCCTTAGCTCTGATCGCTGGCTGGGCCACCCCCCCCCCCCCCGTTCTATGTTATTCATTTATAACTTACTTTCTGGCTGACCCAGTTGTGTTCCACGCCGCCCCTGCTGTTCTCACTGGAGCTGCCTGAGCTGATTAGGAGCCTGTTTGAAGCTCCGTTTCTGTCCCAAAGGGGCGCGTGCAAGCGAGCACGTGCGCACGCTCACAGAAAGTGAACCTTTTGTTAAAGAAAGTGCAGCTCACCTCTGCTTAAGGGTCATTTAATAGGTCAGCCACATGACTGACCCATTTTATGACCTTTTTGTGGCAGTCTTTAAATGAATCACTGTGGTCATTAAATGCCACAGTAGATCAATCATTCACTATTGTTGTAGATTTGCTGAAAACCAAAAGTGTTATATTCCACAAAACTGTCCTAAAACATGTTTATATGGATCCTGGGAAGCTGAAAATGGCCATAAATGCAGCTGTCTTGCCCAGCACCAGAAGTCTGACCACATGGCTGCAGAGGGGTCCAAACATCAGAACCCAGGTCACAGGTCCCTTTTTTGGGATCAGTTGTTAAGCAACTGACATCAGTGGAGAACTAGCTGCATTTGTCAGCCTTTTGGGATACATCAGTCTAGGAAACCAAAGTCATGCAGGCCAATAAGATTATGGTAACAGAACCCTGCAAATCTATGCTTCTCCCCGCCTTCCCGTCTTTGTGAGAACTAGGGAGGGTTTTGTTTGAGACATTTTCTCAAGTTACAGTTTTGTCCCAGGCTCAAGATCCTATGGTCTGACTGTTGTCAGCTCTTCCTCCTGTTCTTCAAGGTTACTCCTTTTGCCTGTTACAGTGTATTAGAAAAATGACTATGGATGCCCTACTGTACTTGACCAAATCTCTTTGTTGTCTTCAGTCTCTCCCTAGGACCCTAAGTGGGCTTGCAGAACGCAGTTTGAAAATATCTATCTTATGAGCAAGATACAAATTGCTCTGAATTTTGTAATGGAATAAAATACGCCTCCTATTATACTGCCCTCTCTCCTAAAGCTTTCGCATTTACTGTTCCTGGCACTTTGTCACTCATATTCATACCATATGGAGCATGACATTCTACAAGGAACAATTGGATTCCCACTAGAACTCTTTTCCACAAACGAACCGCAAATTCCAGCTCATTTATACAACACTACTTTTTCACCCTGTAATAAATTATTCTCAATGGTAAATCAGTTCACAACATATTCATTTCAGACTGTGTGATAAGCCTTTAGATGAGAGATTTTAATTTAGGATTCCCACGCTCACAGGTAACATTGGGGGTGGGGGTAGATGGGGGGAAGCCCTTCTTAATTCTAAAGGTTTTAAAAGGCAACAACTCCATCTTCCCTTTTAATAATTTAAGTCCTGCCTAATAAGCAGCCACAACAGACTGGTGCTTTTAACATACTATTTGGACATCATTTGTATAAGGTGTAAAATAAGCCCTTACATTCTTAAGGAACTCTTCTGCCACAAGGCGAGCCCTAGCATTGACTGACAGTTTCATTTCACTGATTTCCTTGTCAATTTCCTCCATAAAATGAATGACAAAGTCCACCAGCTTGTGCTTGTACATCTGCTCTGTATGGAAATTTGTGATCAAGAAGCTAATGTCATAGCCCTAAAAAAAAAAAAAAAAAAAAAGCAAATTGTTAGCATCAGTGAAGCCAAGACTCAGCCATCAATTCTTCTATACTGTTGACTATTGATTTAGCATAGACAAAAATAATCTATCTTTTTCTTTTGGTTGCTTGTGTTCTAAAGATCTAATATTGTGCATAAGAAGTAAGTTCTGCCATATTAATATTTGAAATCAGTCTGCACTACCTACATAGTAAGTCCAACAGTTGAAAAAGAACAGACAAAATATTGAAGGTAATAATAAACATTACCAATTATGCAGTATTTATTTATTTAGTTTAGTTACTTGTATTCAGCCTCATTTGATTTTTTCCAAGTATATGTATAAAAAATAGACATTATCCTGACAGCTAGTACAAAAACCAAGTCTCACACAATTCATCCACGATTAAACAGACCAAATCAGAGATAAAAGCAGTCTAATAAAGCCACGTTATTTGATTTTGTGAAAAGAGATTATTGTTATTGATTTAAATATGTCTTAAAGGTAAGAGGCACATTGAAATTTTAGGCCTGCTGGAAAGCTTAAGATGTGAAACAATCCATACGTTGGTAGTACTGTCAACAGAATTACACACTTAGGACAACAATGACTCCGTATTTCCCACCTCAACTGGTTTCCGACGTAAAATGAAGAAGTTTTCTGCTCTCATCATCATGAACCGCATAAATTTGTGACATAGAATTTTCTCAATCTCATCAGCCTGCAGAAGGAAAATAGGAACCCATGAGCCTTTTCTCCAGGATGAGCGGCAGTAAGCACCTCACCTGTAACGTGTGACTTACCTGTTTCACAGCAATGCTAACGCGCACAGAGTTGATAGAACCTTCAATTAAGACTTTCTCTTTCTCATTCCTGCTAATGATCACAGGCTGCAAGAGGAGTTCTTTACTGCTTCTGCAAACCCAGAAAGACATTTTTACATCAGAGACTGGGCAATAGATAAAAGGTAAAGGTTCCCCTCGCACATATGTGCTAATCGTTCACGACTCTAGGGGTCAGTGTTCACCTCCGTTTCAAAGCCGAAGAGCCAGCACTGTCCGAAGATGTCTCCGGGGTCATGTGGCCAGCATGACTAAACACCAAAGGCACACGGAACGCTGTTATCTTCCCACCAAAGTTGGTCCCTATTTTTCTACTTGCATTTTTTACGTGCTTTCGAACTGCTAGGTTGGCAGAAGCTGGGACAAGTAACTGGAGCTCACTCCGTTCCACGGCACTAGGGATTCAAACCGCTGAACTGCCAACCTTTCGATTGACAAGCTCTGCATCTTAGCCACTGAGCCACCGCGTCCCTTCCCAATACAGACTGGGCAATACAGAGGCTCATACACTCCATCCTCTGGATATATTTTAACATACCCCCATAACCAATCCTACTCATTATATTTTCAAATCCACAATCGTGAAATGTGCTACTCGTGATGAAAATGATACCAAGAATTATCAGTGATGCAGAACAATGGCAGATAGGCTGCTGTAGGTAAAATGGGCTGTGGGTTGCTTAACACATTATTTTAGCAACAGAAAATTTATACCTGTTTTTTTTTTAGAGTTATGTTTTTGGTAGGTTGGGCTAAAGTTTCTTTTTGCGTGAAGACCAATGCAAAGAATAAGTTAAGCAGCTCTGCTTTCTCTGGACAACTCCAAATGAATAACATCATAATCAAATACATATTTTACATAGCAACAGAAAGAAAACCTCCATGCAGAATTTTAAAACACTCCGGATGCTGAACTGTGGATCAGACCATGACCCCCTAATTGGAGTAGACATCAGATTGGAAAAAAACTAGAAAAGGTCAAATCCTAACGAGATGTAACCTAGAACCCAGAACAATACAAGTTTCAGGCTCGAAACAGATGTAAAGACCTGGATTTATGTATAGAGAACATGAAAAATTGTGCTAAGACGTTAAAGTGCTTTTAAATGATGGTGGTAGGAAGTATATAACAAGAGCCAGAAGGTAAGAAACAAGACTAGCTATCAAACAAGGCCACAGACATAGCTATGGAAAGAGAAGTGGCAAAAGCCAAAGGAGATCTTGGGAAAACCAGAGAATTTAATGAAAACTTCCATCAACCAGCAGAGAGAGATAATAAGGTAGTATATCTGAGTGCAGATTGCAGAAAGTAACAGACTGTGAAGAACAAGAGATCTGTTTAAGAAATCCTGAGACATCGCGAGAACATGAGAAAGAGTTAATAATGGATCATAATGTTAAAAACCATTTAGTCCTTCATGCAGAATACTTGTGTAAGACCAACTCTCCCATCTGAGAGAGAAGAATCGTAGGGCTGGAAGGGATCTTGGAGGTCTCCTACCCAAGGGAGGAGTCCTTATACCATCCCAAACAGATGGTTGTCCATTTTTTTTCTTGGAAACCTCCAGCGATGGAGCACCCACAACTCTGGGAGGCAAACTGTTTTACTGGCTAATTGCTCTGTGTCAAGAAATTTCCCCGTAATTCCAGGTGGGATGTCTCATTAACAAGCTTCTACCAATGCTTCTTATTCTTCCCTCAAACGTTTTGGAGAACAAGTCAACCCCCTCATCTTTGTGACTGCTCCTCAAGTACCAAAACTGGAAGTCTCACTAGTGCATTATAGAGCCATGTTCTATATTCTCATGATCTTAATGCTATCCCACTGTTAATGCAATCTGTTAAGGCCTGCATTGGCCTTTTTGGCAGCTGCAGCACACTGTTGGCCCGTACTTAAGTGGTAGTACACTAGGACATCTAGATCCCTCTCCTAGTTACTACTGTTGAGTCAGGTACTGCCTGTTCTATACCTGTGTATTTGGTTTCTCCAGCCTAAGTGCAGGATCCTGCTTTTCTCACTACTCAACTGTATCTTATGTCAGCATTCCAGAAAACCCCGACTCCCAGTAAAGACGCGGAAGCAGGCATTTTCCAAAGTTCTCTTTACTAGAAATAGGTAAACTGGCACATCTGGGAAATCCCGAATCTGAAAAACCCAGGTTTTCCTTCAGTAATTCAAAGCTCCAACACCACCTCCTTTCTCCTCAATCGATCACATGCTCCAATCATCGTCCGTTCCACTTCAAGCCAGCCCCTGACCACTCCTCCTCCAGATGCTGGCTCACCCTGACCTTGACCGATAGGAAGAATGCTATTATGTCTACTAACTCCCCTCTCCTAAATCCCCCCTCCTACTTTCTTACACATGAGGAGGTGGCAGCACTGAAGCTTCCGGCCTAATATGGCTTCCAAGGCTGACATTTTACTGGATGTGGCCCATGACTCTAGTCTCTCAAGATCCTTCTGAATCCTGAATCTTATCTTGCAAAGTGTTAAAAATTCCCCCCAGCTTGGTGTCCTCTGCAAATTTGAGGAGCTCCTCTTCTATTGAGGACGAATTACTGGTGCTTGAGGAGAAAGTCAGATGAGCTATAAACCCGCTGGCAAAAAAAGGAAAACCCCAAGGGATGGATGATCTCCCAGGAGGCTGGCATAGAAACGATAAAGGCCATAACAGCCCTCTGCCAATAAATATGGAAAAACAGCACGGCCTAAAGATTATCTAATCTAGAGGGAAGATTGAATATTTTTATCTACCTATAAAGAAAAATTAAAGGAACGTTCTAATGTGCTAGGATATTGTTGAAAACTCTGTACAAAATAGAAGTCCTCTAAGAAAAGAGCAGAAAGAACAGGGAACACAAATCTATATAGCTGATATTAAGAGAGCAATGGAAACAGCAAAAGATAATCAGAGTTCTATTATTGCTTGAAAGATAGAAACACTGCTGCCTTTGCAACCACTTAAACTGCAATGCATTAGCCCTATTTGCATTTTGATATTATTAATCTGCTTCACATCTGATACCGTTTAAATATTTGCCTACAATTTTATTCTCATGATTCAGTTTCTTGAAATGGAACTACATGCATTCTTGGCCATCCAGAATTGCAGAGCTTCCTCTTTACACAATTTCAAATGGGTTGTTAGAGCACTTTTCTCTAGCTGCGAGTGACTGCATTCTAAAATGCATGCCGTGTTTCCCCGAAAATAAGATTGGGCCTTATATTATTTTTTGCTCCAAAAGACGCATTAGGGCTTATTTTCTGGTTAGGTCTCCTTTTTGGGGAAATATGGTAATAATTGCCTCCGTCTAGCTGATGATCTTAACTGGGGCTTATTTTTGGGGTAGGGCTTATATTACAAGCATCCTGAAAAATCATGCTAGGGCTTATTTTCCGATTGGGTCTTATTTTCGGGGAAGACTGGTAGTTATTTGGACAGATTTCCAGGGACACCCTAGAATTGCTCCAAAACACAGACACAAACCTTAAAAAATGTTTCCAGCTCTAATTGTAAATAGCTAAACAAGTCCAAGTCAAATGGATGAAAACAAAGTTCATCTGTATGCAGCAGCAGCAGCCTTACAACACTTTAACACAATTCTACAGAAAACTATTGCAACAGGCATATAGTTACCCAGATTCCTACATTAACTTGAGGAACTTTGTCTCAAAAAGACTGAGGAAAGTAGTGAATCTTACAAAAATAAAGGTCTCATCTAATTAAATCAGGCCACTGGTCCATTTGGCAATTTGGTTTTTTAAGGAAAGGCTTTTCCCACTGAACTATAGGCCTTCACTGTAACTGTAACTATAGCCCTTCTTTTTCTTAATAGAGCTTATACTCTATATGCCTGAAGAGATGCTACAAGAATGTTTTAAGGCAGGGGTCTCCAACCTTGGCAACGTTACGCCTGGTGGACTTCAACTCCCAGAATTCCCCAGCCAGCTTAATGTTGCTAAGGCTGGAGACCCCTGTTTTAAGGAACAGTCTGCAAGTGGAATCTATGATGTCTCAGGATGGGACTGGGTAGAATCCCATTCAGAGCCATTGTTTTATGCTAATTAGGGAGGGATTAGGGTCAGGGTTGGAGTGGGCTGGGCTGGGTGGGCTGGGCTGGGCTAAAAGGCCTCAAATAATCTTTGAAAGGAAATACAGAAAATACAAATGGAAAAATGTTAAGCAAGGCAGACCAAGATAGCAATATGATCAAGACATGAAGTATGGTAAAGTATGGGGGTGGAATGAAATGGAGATTGAGCTAGTAAAAGAAAAATGTTGTTTCTGCATCACATACAGTATGTCATTTCTGATCCAACAGCAACGCAGCAAGAATACTCCATAGATTTACACAAGAGGATTTTTTAAAATATTGATTCCTTTTGATATTTACCTATTTGTGTCAAATTAAAATATAAAAGTTCTGATAAATTAGAGCCATGCAGCATATTATTTCTACTGAGGCCACACTATATGGGAAACCCCAAAGCAAAAAATGGGTCCTTATCACTGTCTGGCTTGTGTTCTATAGCAGGGGTCTCCAACCTTGGCAACTTTAAGACTTGCGGACTTCAACTCCCAGAGTTCCTCACCTAGCAAAGCCAACAAGTCTTAAAAGTTGCCGAGGTTGGAGACCCCTGTTCTATAGCAACTCCTATTCTGAAGCTTGGTCTACATACAACTATCATTAATAGGATATATTAATAACCATCACTGTGTCTTAAGTTACTGTGTTTGAAATTTGAAAACCACCTCATATACATTTTAGTTATCTAGATATCTAATGAATTAATGTGTGTCAAACTTGAATGGAAACAGCCCATAAATGGTACACTCCATAATTCGTTAGCTGAACTTATTGCAGGAGAAACTAGTGAGGTCCAATATTGACTAGACTTCTCATGTGATGCATGTAGACTACTAGACTTCATCAGATGGGTGCACAGTTAACATTTTTATGTCACATAAAATACTGTTTTATATATTAAAACATAACACACATGAATCCATAAATTCAATGTAGGAAAAGGCAAAACAGACTGACTGGAGCTGAGAAAATTGTAACATGTGTTCAGTGTATTTTTTTTAAAGTGCCAGATAATGCACAAAGAAACATCTATGCAGTATTTACAAAAAGAAATAAAGGCAATGCTGAGGAAGGTGCGAAAAAAATATATAAGCTTATAAGCCATTTTATATCAGCAGCAGCCATTCATGACCTGTGGCTCCACCAGGAGCTAAAGGTCTATTTAAGAATCACTAATTTGGAATTAAGAAGTAGTATGAGGCAATATCCCAACAGGACAGTATAATATATAACTATATAGAAGCCATGAACATTAGGCTGAAAGCTATTGCAACCATAAAATGAAGCAGACCATAAACAGAAGCAAAATAAGAATTAAAAAAATTAAAATATTACCTTATTGATGAACCAACTAACCCTAAAGCTCAAAAGATTGAATAAAAAGCTTTTGAAATTTCCAGAAGCATTTTTGGGTATAATTGTGTGTTTTTGTGGTACAGTATTATGGGGAACCTCAGAAAGTGTAGGACAAGAGAACAGAAGTGAAAGACGTGTACAGATTCTTTTCACTAAAACTTAGTCCAACGAATTAATTGACCATTCCTTCTCTGATTCCATGACAATTTATAGGACAGGTCATTCATTTTGATACCTCCATGCTGTTTTTCACAATTTTGTATGCCATCAAATTTCTCTTCCACCTATTCTCTATACATTTATATCCTGTCTTTTTAAACAACACATAGCAGCCAACATGCCCAATACTCTTTCTTCCTCTGCTTTTCCTCACAACAACTCTATGAAAGGAGTTAGGCTGAGAGTGACTGATTGGTCCAAAGTCAGCCAGCCAGCTTTCATGCCTAAAATGAGACTAGAAGTCAATTTCCTGGTTTCTACCCTGGTGCCTTAATCACTAGACCAAACTAGCCCCCTCTATCTTTAATAGTTTTAAATAATTATTAAATAGCTTTAAATTAAAACACCTTTAATACAGCTTTGCCATCAACTGCCCTTTGGGTTTGCATTTGCGGCTTTAATAAATTAGGGCAGATACAGGTAGTCCTCGACTTACAACAGTTCACTTAGTGATTGTTCAAAGTTACGGCACTGAAAACAGTGACTTATGGCCATTTTTCACACTTATGATTGTTGCAGCATCCCTACAGTCATGTGATTTACATTTGGATGCTTGACAACTGACTCACATGTATGACGGTTGCAGTCCCAGAGTCATGTGATCCCCTTTTGCGACCTGACAAGCAAAAGCCAATAGAGAAATGAGATTCACTTAACTGTGTTATTAATTTAATTACTGTAATGATTCACTTAACAAATGTGGTGAGAAGTCATAACTCCGGGTGAAGCTCACTTAAAAAACTTCTCACTTAGCAACATAAATATTGAGCTCAATTGTGGTCATAAGTTGAGGAATACCTGCATTCTTATTTTAAAAGCCTATTTCCAAATCCAATTTCTGAAGGAGGGGAAAGCTACACCTGATGAGGCCATATAAAACTCTTTGGACACATTATGGCAGAGGTGTCAAACTCGATTGTGTCACGTGACGTATTGCAACGGTTGTTTTTTTGCCTTTGCGGGTGGGCGGGGCCTGTGTGTGACACATTCCACAGCTCGACACCCCTGCATTATGTGAAGACAGCGGTGGGATTCAGCCACTTCGCACCACTTCGGGAGAACCGGTTATTAACTTTCTGAGCAGTTTGGCAAACTGGTTGTTGAAAGAAACCATTAGGGCAGAGAACCGGTTGTTAAATTACTTGAATCCCACCACTGGGTGAAGATCCAACTCTCTGGAAAAGGCTGCAATGGTGGGAAAGGTGCAAGGAAAGAGAAGGAAGAAGAATGACCAGCAGCCAGGCGGACGGGTTCCGTTATAGCGGCAACGAGTGCACCCTTGAGAGGCGTGAAAAAGGAAAGGATTAAAGAATAGATTGTCACAGAGAAAAATCTATATCGGCTGCTAGGCACGATAAAAAAACGATTTTGGGGGGGGGGGTGTACAGACTCCCCCGCCTTGCAATCCAACACACATCAAAGCGTCATTCTGCCTCCTCCACTGAACCTTCAGGCACAGACCTGACTTCCACCTCGGGTTTGTTGTGCCTCTCGACCACCTGGGAGGAGAAGTTCTCCAGGCACAAGGCAGCCTGCAGGGTGGCACGCACTGCGTTGAGGTAAGGGCGCAGAGTGGCTGTCTGTAGGAAGGAGAGAGAAGTGGGGGGGGGGGAAGAGAAAAAAGGGATCACGAATTTGGGGAGATCCTCCAGCCCTTTGCAAATCCCCCCCTCCCCCACCCCAGCAGAGATCTTCTCGCTCTCTGACGTCAGCGCTTTCCAAAACCACAGAAGGCGGGCTTCCTTTTCCCGGTGTTTCCCTGCCTCCGATCCCAACGCGGGATCCGGCGATCCGGGCTAGTTCGATCCCAGCCGAAGGGTTTGGCCGCCGCCGCCTCCGCCTCCGCTCCCAATCCCGCCTGGCCATGGACCGCTCTCCAACCCCCCCCCTTTTTTTTTTAACCCCAGGCCTCCATCGCGTCAAGCCCCCCCCCTTCTCGCCGCCTTCAGCGCTTCCCTCGCTCGCTCCCTCCAAGAGCCCCTCCGCCCACTCACCATGGCAGCAAAGAGAAGACTAAGCAGCCGCTGCACCCCCCGAGACCTGGTCCAGAAAACGGAAGCGGAAGTGGCCTCCACCAAACAAGAGCTCCACTTCCGCACGGGCTGGCCCGTTCCAACACTCCCTCCCCACGGGTGAGCGCGCGGGGTCTTAAATCTTAACCCTCCCTTTTTTTCTCTTTCTTAATGAGGTATTCGCAACACGCCACGCAACATTCCATGACGGCAGCGAAGGAGGCCGAAACGTCTCCTTCGTAGGAAACAAGAGGCAAACTCGTTTTCCTTCCCCCAACCCACCCCCATTTTTCGGTGAGTATGGTATGACCCATCCTCCCTGCCTCCATATTTGGCCATCAGAAGAGTCAGGGTGGGTGGAGTCAAAAGGACGCCAAGTTTGTTTTTTTTTTAGTTAAAAAGCGACGCGTTCTACGGCTCCGCGCGCTGGTTTGCAGCCAATGAGAGCGAAGTAAGAAAGCGTGGCCAATGACAAGGTTCGACCGCTGAGACCGGAAGGGGCGGAAGTCTCCGGGCGGAGAGATTTTTTTTTTTTTTTTGGGTGGGAGACTTCGGGGTGATACTTTTCCCTTCACCCCTCCCCCCCCACGTCGCCGCTATGGCGGTTGGGAGTCTCCCTCGCGCCCAACTGCTGCATCTGCGGGGAATACGAGGCGCCCCTCTTCCCTTCCTGGCGCGCTCCGAATGGGTGTAACCCGGAAGGAGCCTCTGGAACCGGAAACGCCCCCAATAATTTCTTCCCCCCCTCCCCCGCCTTTCTCCAGCGCCCCCTCCTGGCTTGTTTCCCCCCCTCATTCATCATTTGCTTCTCCACCGTCCATAGTTCTTATATATAGGTGCTTCCTTGTCTCCTTTTCAAAGCAGCCTCACAGGCTCCAGTTCCCTCCGTCCTGGTTATTTTAGGACTTCGTTGGGCAAAAGGATTCCCTTCACATTCCTTGTCTTGTCTTCGCCTTCCCTCTGCAGGATTGTCCACTTCCATAATAATCTCGTCTGCTGGTAGCTCACCCTGTCAAAGCCTGCATTTGCCATAGCAGCCCTTCTCTTCTGGTCGTCGTTTATTTTGTTTTTAAATAACTTTTGTTTTTCCACTCTGTGGATTCTTCCCAATTCAACGGTGCCTTGCAGCGATGCCTCCATCTCAGCAAGATTCCTGGCTGTGAAGAGCTACTCGTTTCCAATATTTAATGTAGGGTAAGATTTTTGGGGTTTTTTTGAGGGGGGGTAGGAATAAAATAAAATAATTTCTTTCTTTTTTTAAAAAAAAAGTAATATTTATTAAATTTTCAAACAGTAAAATATACAGTGCTCTTTTCTAAAATAAAATAATTTCATTCCCTCCTCTGTTCCGCTGTTAATGTGGCAAATCGTTAATGTCGCTCTTTTCATGCTTAACATCTCTCTTTCTTTTCTTCAAGGCCCGGCAACACCATGTCTGAACTGAAAGATTGTCCCCTTCAATTCCACGATTTCAAGTCTGTGGACCATCTCAAAGTGTGCCCACGCTATACGGCGGTACTGGCCCGTTCTGAAGACGATGGCATTGGCATTGAAGAACTTGACACGTTACAGTTAGAGCTTGAAACATTGCTGTCATCTGCAAGCCGCCGACTTCGGGTGCTGGAGACTGAAACCCAGGTCAGACGGTAATCGAGTCCTCATAGAAAGAAGGCCCTTCAGATTTGAGTCTTCCAGTTGATCAAATATAATTGATCAAACAGTCCTTAAGTCTGTGAAAGGCAAGTCATTTTCAGAAAGCAAGAATATAGTGCAGTCTGCTTTCTAGATGGCAGAGCCCATTTGGCTCCATGCTTTTAAGGTCATCTGAGAAACTGTTTAGAAAAGCTAGACTTCTGTAGTCTTTAGACAAAAGTCACATTTGGCTCAGGTGATCGTGCCCTTGCCTTGCTGCTGGAGGATTTTGTGTCGCAGTTAGATGAGGAATTAGCTTCCGAAATGGTGACAGAAAAGAACAATTGTAGCTCACATTTGAACTGGGGAGTCGTTTATGCTCTCTGAGCTTGGTTTTTTTCTTGCAGATGTTTTATTACCAAATTAGGTAACATCTATTGGTACTTTGGTAGAGAAACGTCTACAAAAAAAAAAAACAACCAAGCTCAGAGAGCACTAAGGACCCTGCTTCCAACATGCATTAGCCTATCCATACGTAACACAGAATTGTAGACAAATTAAACTATTGTTTTGTTCCATCAGGGCTCTTCTGATGTTAGTAAGAATTCCATAATGCAGCAGTCCTGCTAAAGAATCCTTTTTCTGATTCCTCTTTCCAAGATAGGTATAGGTAGCTTGCTATATGACCTTTTAAGCCACCTTTTTTCTTTCTTCATTCTCATCAGATTTTGACAGACTGGCAAGACAAGAAAGGAGACAGGCGATTTCTGAAAATTGGCAAGGACCATGAGGTGGGTCCTTCTATCAAACATAGCAAGCTCAAGAAGCAGAAGCTAGATGTGAAAGGAAGCCACAGCACTCCAGGACGTCCCAAATCCAAGAACCTGCAGCCTAAAATTCAAGAGTATGAATTCTCAGATGATCCAATTGATGTGCCCCGTATCCCTAAAAATGATGCACCTAACAGGTAACTATGAAAGTGACTGCTATCATCTTATCCATTATCACACTAAGTATCTACATTATGAAGCACAAAGAAGAAATAGGTGTATAGTTCAGTAAATAGTTACAGCAGGAATGGGCAACCTCTAGCCTTACTTTCAAAAGAGGTGGCAGGAAAAAAATGGGGCCACTAAACATATCCCCCAGTTTGCCATCCCTTGTCTTAATATCTGGCAATTATTATTGGTTCTTGTTACATGGATTGCACTATCAGAATAAATGCTCTGAGGTTCTCCATATGTTGAACTTCAATTCCCATAATCCCCATTCTCAATATGACTTGCACCCTTGGCTAGGAAAGGCAATGTACTGTTTGTGGTGACTAAGAAAGGTTCTAGCTTCTTAGTAATCCAGATGTTAAGGTGTTATGTTAGACTGTCATGTTGCCTGTTATAAGCAATCTTCCTGAACTGTGATTCTATTTCCTTCTTACTGTTCATGTTTACAGATTCTGGGCCTCAGTGGAGCCATACTGTTCTGATCTCACTAATGAGGAGGTTCGTACTTTAGACGATCTTCTCAAGCCACCTGAAGATGAAGCTGAACACTACAAGGTAAAAAAAGCAGGAGCATTTCATTCAACCTGCCCTAAATTTGGATTAATTCTCCATACATTCCTCATGTTAAACTGTGGTACTCACGTTGATCTAAGACAAATTCTGTATCAGGTGAAACAATAGGACTAAAAGGCTGTTGGATTCTATATTGACTTTACTGGAGCACAGAGCAAGTTATTCGCATGTTGCTAAACTACAACTTAACAGCTCCAATCAGCATGACCAAGTAAGAGACAATAAGTGTTGCAGTTCAGTATTTGAAGGACCACAGATTCTCCATTTCTGACCTAGAGGTTCATGATAATTGTAATTGCTAAAATTTGCATTTTGTAAAATATGTATTGTTGATTTTCTGTGAGCCAAAGCTTTGTAGTTGTTCTCAAGCAAATACGTTTTCTAAGATTTTTAAACGGTAGCATTTCCAAAATTTGGATGAAGAGAACAACCTTTTTCCTTTTAAGAATCCCAGAGTTACAAAACTGAAGGGGAAAAAAAATCACTTGCCCATATGTCTATGGAGATTCTCAATCATCCAGGTCATGGTTGTCCCAAATGTGCTTTTTCAAAAGGCAACTGGACTTTGTTTTTCCTTGAAGACGTTTTGTTTCTCATGCAAGAAGTTTCTTCAGTTCTGACTGAATGGTGGAGAATGGAAGGATTTATACTCCTTGCAGTCGTTGAATCTTCTTGGAACTGCTGAAAGGACTGTTGGGATACAAGACTACCTATCTCTTGTTTACAACAAGTCCTTTCAGCAGTTCCAAGAAGGTTCCATGCCCATTTGCACTATTCAGGTGACCTCAGGCATGGATAAACCTCCAAGTGGCCTCAACGACTATCAGAAAGAGTGCTAATGACCAGATGATTGCAAGGAATATAAATCCTACCATTCTTCACCATTCAGTCAGAACTGAAGAAGCTTCTAGGAGGAGAAACAAAATGTCTTCAAGGAAAAACAGGGAAGTCCAGCTCCTTTTTGAAAAAGCACCTTTGAGACAGTCACTTGTCCAACTTTATCTCCCGCTTCCATTCCCCTCAGTGCTTCTTAATCTCTTCTCTTGTAGAATGATAAAGGGAACTCTGCTTGTTCCATTAGTGGGACAGAGGGCACAAGACTAGGAAAGTTGCAGGGCAGAAAAGCTTGAGGTTTTATCCATGTTTGCGACAGTTGGATTACTGCAGAAAGAAATGCCTTTGGTACTCCTTTTTCCCTGATCTTTGAGGCTCCCTGTCTAGAGAGAACATGTTTTCCCATTTCATTTCAGTTATCTCTTTTTAGTACTTTCTCTGGATCATCTCAAGGAAATTCGATCTACACAGACAATGGAATGACATTTTGTACAGTGATGGGCAATGAAGAGTATTATTCTCCCACCTTAGCTGTAAAACTGCTTAGATCCATTAGGGAATAAGGATATTGTACTATAATCATTTAAAATAGAAAATTTTGGAAGGGAGGAAGAAATAATTGAGTTGAACGGAAGCAGTTCAATTAGAATTACATCTGAAAAAAGGGGCTGCATTTGGTACAAATATGCATTGAGACACAGTTGAATTGTTTGGGGATATTTGCCCTTCTGGTGTGTGAGCTGGCTCTCATTTATGCACTGCTGTCCTGTTCTTATAGATTCCACCATTAGGAAAGCATTACTCCCAGCGCTGGGCTCAGGAAGACCTGCTGGAAGAGCAGAAGGATGGAGCTCGGGCTGCAGCTACTGCTGATAAGAAGAAAGGCATCTTGGGACCTTTGACCGAACTGGACACTAAGGGTATCCTGAGCTATTCCTTGACATCTTTTCCAGAATAGAAGAGACTAAAGATGCCATTTTACTAGAAAGCTCTGATAGTTTACTTGCAGAATCCATGCTTTACAAGTAGTCCTCACTTAATAACAGTAATTAGGAGTGGAATTTCCATTGTTATGTGATGCAGTCATAAATTATGATGTCAGATGTCCATGCCACTTAGCGATGGCAGTTTCCAGTTTCCTGCTGGCTTCCCCATTGTCTTTGATTGTGGAAAGCTAGCAGGGAAGGTCATGAATCACGATTATATAAACTGCAGAACGCTGCAACAGTTGGAAATCCAGGCTGGTTGCTAAGTGTGTGGATTATGATCATGTGACTGTTGGAGTACTACAACTTTTGGAACTTTAAAGACTGATCATAAGAACCATCCATTTTGGCACCATTGTAAGTTCATTGTAAGTAACACTTGCTGAACAAGTAGTAATTAACCAAGGATCACCTGTGTAGGGAAAGTGAAAAAATTGGTTGCCCTATTGTCTACTTCAGTTCCTTGCTTCTGGGAACTATCATTTAGCAAAAATGAAAAAATCAGAGATTTCTTTATCTCTGCTTTATGTGCTTATTAGCTCCAGACCAGTGTTTCTCAACCATGCAACTTTTAAAATGTCTGGACTTCAACTCCCATAATTCCTCAGTCAGTGTTATTGAAATGAAGCCCGATTGAGATTAGAAGTTTATAGACTGGAACTGGCTGTGTCAGTTCCTTAAATTTAGCATAGTATGTCGAATAAAGTCAGTCCCTTCTGATGTGTTGAAGGTTTAATTATGGCAAGAATCCCAGAATTGCTCCGAAGTGCCACATTTATTGCAACTGATATTGACCCGTCCTTCCTAGTTCTCAATTGCTCCTTTCATTCCCTCTTCTCCAGATGTTGATGCTTTGTTGAAGAAATCGGAGTCCCAGCATGAGCAGCCAGAGGATGGGTGCCCTTTTGGACCTCTCACCCAGCGCCTCCTACAGGCACTTGTAGAAGTAAGGAATAATTTTTTAAAAAAACCAATAGCTGGTTTCTTCAGCTCCGGCAGGCTCATATTTTCTAGGGGAAGGCCTATTGAAAAGATTTACCTTGGTTTCTGCTCCTTTTCTCTCCAGTCAATCAGATCAGAATAGAGCTGGAAGTCTTCTAGTCCAGCCTTCTCCTCAAGCAGGAGATTTTATACCAGGGGCATCAAACTCGATATCATTGAAGGCTGCATCAGGATTGTGTTTCACCTTGAGGGACAGTGTGGGTGTGGCCACCTCAACATCACTTGTGTTGGGGGCACCTGTGGTGGTTCCGGCAGGGCTGGGGGATCCGCTTTTGCTAGTAGTTTGTTTTGCTAGCACTCTGCCAGCGAAAACGGAGCTCAGGGACCCCATGCGCCCCCATCCCGGGCTCCATTTTCAGCTGTGACAGCCTCCAGCCTTCTGCCAGTAGAAACGGCCACCACGTGCGGGCCAGATCTAAGCACCCTGCGGGCCAGGGGTGAAATGCTCCCAGTTCGGACCGGATCGCCCGATCCGGTAGCAATGGAGGCAGGTGGTTCAGAGAACCGGTAGCAGAAATCCCTCCCCCCCCCAATGCCTTTTCAAAAAAGCCTCTGCCGATCAGGCAACTCAGCTTGGATCGTCAGAGGCATTTAAAAGAAAAAAAGCCTCTGCCGGACAGGCAACTCAGTTGGGATCATCAGAGTCTTTTGAAAGCATTTTTTGACAACCTCTTTGCCGAAGAGGTTGTAGAAAAAATGGTTTTAAAAGTTAAAAAAAAAAATTGGCCATGTCCACCCAGTCACATTACCCAACCCCCCACCAAGCGACACCCACAAAACTGGTAGTAACAAATTTTAGATTTCACCACTGCCGGGGGCCCGCATCTGGCCCACAGGCCTTGAATTTGACACTCCTGTTCTATACCATTTCAGATAAGTGGCTGTCCAGTCTCTTCTTAAAAAACCCCAATTGTCAACCCAGTGATGAAGCACCCACAACTTCTGACAACAAGCTGTTCCACTGGTTAATTTTTCTCATTGTTGGGAGAAATTCCAGGTTGCTCCTCTCCTTTGGTCAGTTTCCATCCATTTTTCCTTGTCCTGCCCTTTGGTGCTTTGGAAAATAAGTTGACCCCCTTCTCTTTGTGGAAGCCTGTCAAATACCGGAATACTGCTATCATGTCCCCCCCGGTCCTTCTTTTCTCTAGACTGGCCATACCGAATTTCTGCAACCATTCTTCATACATTTTAGACTCCAAGCCATTAATCATCTTAGTTGGTCTTCTTTGCACTTTTTCCAAAGTCTCAACATCTTTTTTTTTGGGTAACGTGGTGACCAAAACTGGATGCTGTATTCCAGGTGTGGTCTTTTTTTTTTTTTTAATTTGATTTATATGCCGCCCTTCTCCGGAGACTCAGGGCGGCTTACAATGCGTTAAACAATAGCCTTTATACTTTTGTATATTTATACAAAGTCAGCTTATTGCCCCCACAAACTGGGTCCTCATTTAACCTAGTTTAGAAAGGATGGAAGGCTGAGTCAACCTTGAGCCTGGTGAGATTTGAACTTACAGTAATTGCAGACAGCTGGTGTTAATCACAATGCTTTTAGTCTGCGGAGCTACCAGGCCCATTTTAACTAAGGCTTTATAAAGAGGTACTGATACTTCACGCAATTTTGATCCTATGCCTCTGTTTATACAACCCAGGATTGTATAATCTTCTCAATCAACCTCTCTCTCTCTAGGAGAACATCATCTCCCCTATTGAAGATTCGCCTATTCCTGAGATAGCAGGCAAAGACTCTGCAATTGATGGTGCCAGCACTTCCCCTCGCAGCCAGAACAAGCCCTTCAGGTGACCATAGCAATTATTTCCTTTTTTGAGGCCTATTTCATTCCTTAAAACATTTATCCCATTCCTCCTCATGTTTAGATGTTTAGGAAGCATTACAGAATATCAGTGTAATCCTAAGCAGGTCTATTTAAAGTCATTCCTGCTGAATTTCATGGAGACTTTTCGCTTGGAATATGGAGAACACCAACCTTGTCTGCCTTTCGTAAGGCCTTCATGGTAATGTGTGTTCCACTCTGATATAATTGTTTTGGTTGTTGCCTTGGCGGAATTTGTAATGTTTTGTTATATTTTTAAGAAGATTTACTTCATGTGTCTTGTTCAGTTGCTCTGAGTCATGTTTTAAAGGGTGATTGTCTAAATCAACTGAATAAATATATCTATAGCTTTGGAAAAAACTAGTCCAAGTAACTGAAGAAAAGTCACATGCAAGGAGAATAAACAGTGAAAATAGAGACCAGATTTAATGAACTAATTTTGCTAAGGGTGCCTGAAGAACTTGGGACTGATGTTTATGAAAGTTAAAGCAAATAAAATATCCCCAAAAGCTAAACAAGGTAAAATGGCTATCTGCTGCCATGCTGAAAATCTGTGAAGAAAAAGGCAACACAGAGGGAGGAATATTTGTCCAGCCAAATGCTAAATTCCACAGAAGAGCAAGCAAAACAGGGACTTATACTGAAACAGGCAAGCAGCGCAAAGAAATTGAGGGTGACTGCGAAACCAGAAGGACAAGAGATTATTTAAGGAAAATATAAAGATGAAGTCAAGCACAATAAATAAACAGATAAGGCAAATAAGAGACAAAGCAAAGATCAACCGGAGAAAGAAGCTATGGAAAAAGCATGAAATTGTTTTTCTCCCCCATTTGATGATGCATGCAAAGTTACAAACACTGAATTAGAGCAGAATTCTGAAAAGTGAAGTTTTTAAAAAATCTCAGAAAAGATTGCTCACAACAGCTACATTAGTTGATGATACACTAATTTAACCATTAAAAACCATGCCAGGTGATGCAGTTAAAGTGATACCGTGTGTATGCAGTTGTGGAAAACACAGCAGTAGCCAAGGAACTGGAAAAGATCAGTTTATATTCCATTACCAAAAAAGGACAGTCTTAAAGAATGCTTAAACTATTAAACATTTGCAGTTCTCTCAAACTCGGCTAAAATAATAATCAAGAGTTTACGATCCAGACAATCCCTGGAATGAGAAAAGTCAGATGTACAGGCTAGATTCAGGAAAATCACAGCTTTCAAAATCAAAACGTCTGTATTTTTTTTATTGATGATACAAAGGGTTTTGATTGTGTAAACCACAACAAATTGTGAATAGTCCTTAAAACCAGACCATTTGTCCAGGGCAAAATTTGTCTGACGAACAGATGTCAACAGTTAGAACAGATTATGCAAATGGCTCAGAATCTGAAGAGGAGTACGCTCAGGCTGATGGCTGTCACTTTTATTTAAGTTCTGTATAGAAAATATCACAAGAAATGTTACATTAAATAGAAATTGTAACTATAAACACTAATAACCTCAGATGAGCTATAAGCAAGGAATATTTATGGAATCTCTTATGGACAACAGAACAGAAGCTAATTTGCTGTTTACTATTTTTAAAAGCTACAATAATGCAAACCCAGTGGAGAAGTTGAAATACTAGCTGACTTGATCTTCCTAAACTCAAAAGAAATCACACGTGACTGATAGTATGGACATCACTACTTTTGGAGCAAATGCCTGGGAAAGCTTAACCATTTTGTGAAAAAAAACAGATGCTTTAAATTGTTATGCAGAACATTGCTGAGAATACTTTGGACCTCAAGAAAAATAAGGCTAGGTGAAGTAAAACCAGACTAGCCAATGGATGCTGCAATCAAGTTTAAATGTTTTGGACACAAACCATGAAAGCAAAAATGATTAGAAAAGATTCCAATAATTGCAAAAATCAAAAGTCCAACAGCTGACCTGATACCATCACTGACGAAATAAGCAGGAGCATATAAGAAATCAAAAGAAGCAGTTACCAACAGTCATCCATAGGCTCACAAAGAATCAGTGGCATGTTAATAATTGAATAACAAAAAATAATAACAAAAAACTATTGGCACATAAGAATGGCAGTAAATTACATAAAATAATCAGTATTATGTGTAATAAAGAGTACTTTAAAAATAGGCAATGAATATTGGCTGTTAAAATGTGTTTAAGGAATACTGAATATGTATGATGCCCAGGTTCCTAATGCAGGTTGAGCCCAAAATGTCTGTTGCTAAGCGAAACATTTGTTCAGTGAATTTCCCTCATTTTATGACCTTTCTTGCCATCGTTGTTAAGTGAATTCCCCATTGACTATGTTTGTCAAAAAGGGATCGCGTGACCCCGGAACAATGCAATCGTCATAAATATGAATTGGTTGCCAAGTGTTCTAATTTTAATCACTTGACTATGTGGGTGCTACAACAGTTGTGTGAAAAATTGTCATAAGTCACTTTTTTTCAGAGTTGTTCAGTTAATCACTGCAGTTGTTGAGTTACAACACAGTTGTTAAGTGAATCTGGCTTCCCCCATTGATTGTCAAAAGATCACAAAAGGGGATCACTTGGACTCTTAACTGTCATAAATACGAGTCAGTTGTCAAGCATCCGAGGTGGCGCAGTGGTTAGAGTGCAGTACTGCAGCTACTTCAGCTGACTGCTAATTCAGCAGATCAGCGGATCAAATCTCACTGGCTCAAGGTTGACTCAGCCTTCCATCCTTCCGAAGTGGGTAAAATGAGGACCCAGATTGTTGGGGGCAATATGCTATTTAGTATACTGTCTTTGGTGTAAGCTGCCCAGAGTCCTCGGAGAGTGGGCGGCATAGAAAAAATATAACAACAACAACAACAATAATAATAGAATTTTGGTTGTTATATTTTTTCTATGGAGATGCTGCAGTGGTCGTAAGTCACCTTTTTCAGTGCTGTTGTGAGTTTGAACTGTTGTAAGTCGAGGACTACCTGTAATGCCGCTTCTGTTGTTTTGCCTCCTTCAGTGTGCCCCACACAAAATCTCTCGAAGGCCGCATCAAGGAAGAGCTGATAGCTCAAGGCCTGCTGGAGTCAGAGGACCGGCCGGCAGAGGACTCGGAGGACGAAGTGTTAGCTGAGCTGCGGAAGAGACAGGCTGAGCTCAAGGCGTTAAGTACCCACAACCGGACCAAGAAAGTTGAGCTGCTCAGGTGAGAAAGAGAGAGAGAGAGAGAAACCAGTGGCAGGTCTGATAATCCACTCCTCAGGGTTGTCTTGATGATGCTGTTTCTCATTGTTATTCACTGCCTTTTTTTTTTTTTCACTTTAAAAATTTGTTCTCTAAAATGGAATGAAATACAGGTAATCCTTGACTTACCACCACAGTTGAGGCCAAAACTGCTGTTGCTAAGCGACAGCAGTTGTGAAGTGAATTTTGCCCCATTTTACAACCTGCCTTGTTAAGTGAATCACTGCAGTTGTTAACTTACTGACACGGTTGTTAAGCGAATCCAGCTTTCCCCCGTTGACTTTGCTTGCCAAAAAGGGATCCCAGTGACCCCAGGACAATGAAATCGTCATTAAATACGAGTCAGTTGCCAAACGTCTGAATTTTGATTGTGTGACTAGGTGGGCGCTGCAATGGTCAACATGTGGAAAAACGCTCCTAAAACACTCTTTTCAGTGCCCTTGTAACTTTGAACGGTCACTTAACCAAACCGTTGTCAGTTGAGGACTTACCTGTAAGGTCAGACCAAGAAGGTGAGGATCCAAGGTTGACTCAGGAGTTGTGTTTGTTTTCCCTACAGGCTGGCCAAAGAAGAACTTCACAGGCAAGAACTGCGTCAACGCGTGCGCATAGCTGACAACGAAGTCATGGATGCCTTCCGCAAGATCATGGCTGCCCGGCAGAAGAAGCGCACCCCAACTAAGAAGGAAAAAGATCAAGCTTGGAAGAGCCTCAAGGAGCGTGAGAGCATCCTTAAGCTGCTAGATGGTTAATGCCACAAGACGCCCGGCCGAGCTTCTCCGTTTGAACCCTAATAGAGACCCCGGCTGAAGGGGAGACATCAGCCGCAGGTGTAGACTATAGCAGCCTCCCTCACTGGTTTGTCATCACTCCTCTTGCATTATTTCAGCCGAGACTCTGGATAGGTTGGTTTCCCAGCAGTATGCCTTCTCTTTTTGGGGTGTGGCTTTGAGCCCAGTGATGGGCTGTGAAATGAGCATCCGGATTGCTTAAAGCAGCAGTCCCTCTTTCGACATCTACAGGGACAAGTTAACGCTGCAGTGTGAAGGAACAAAATCTTTTATTAGTCTTATGTACCAAATACCAGGTTTTGGGATCTGTCAGCAGCATAAACTGGAACCGATGGTTCTTGAAGTTAGATTTTTTCCCCCTTTCCTACTGCCGCTCTTCCTTTATTCGTGTCAAGGAAAACAGCACCTTGAAAGCTATAGGCACAGCGAAGGTCAACTGTGGGAGCATCATTTCTTAAAGGCCTGTCATTTCTTGCAAAGTTTGGGAACGATTTATTGACTCTGTGGCTGCACCGGACGTATCTCATCAGCAACTAGGGCTGAGCTAAGTTGAAACAGCCAGGGAAGTTTTTGAGGCGTGGGTAGAATTGCTGTTCTATGGGTGGTTTAAGTAGATGCCTGTCATATTTGTAGAGGGAACGGTGTGCCTCCTCCTGCATTTCACTGTTCAAACAGAGTTACAATCCAAACCCTGTCAAGGATGTGGTCTGCACTACTTGGCTGGATATATTTTTGCAAGGCAGCTATGAAGTCTTTACTTCCTATTTTGCTCATTGTCTTCCTGCGGTGGCATTGAGGGTTGCACGTTCTCCCTTCTATAGCCCCCTAGAAAGGAGTTGTCCTCCATGGAAACAAACAGAGAAAATGCTAGTGGGTTCTGAAGCAAAAGGCTGAGCAATTAGAACATTCAAATGGTCCAAGGAAGGGAAAGGATTTCGGTGGAACAGACTGAGTGACCCAATCTCGCCCCATACCAATTCCGGAAACACACAGTTCAGTATCAAAATTGCAGATGGCTAGCAGTGCATTAAGGAAACACAAGGTGGTAGGATGGTAGTGGGAAGGAGAGATTCCTTCCTCCCCCGGAATCTATATTTTAACTCAGCCTCACTCAAAAAACTCCAAGAAAGTGAGAAAATAAGCTGGGAAGAAGCTTTAACCAAAAGTCTTTCATAAAAAGAGATACGAAGGAATAGATCTTCCGTGGGTCATTCACAAGGCAGGGCAATGAACCACTGTGCCTCTCATGGTTCTTTCCTGCAGGCTGCATATGGGTCAAATCCATTTGGAGGGCACTTCTTTCCACCAGCCATTTAGCAGGCAAACTCTATGAAACTCTGGCGGATTGGTGATGAAAGAGCAGAAGGACGAGAGGAGGCCACCTGCGTCTCTTCCTCACTTGGGTACAGATAAATCATCCCCCCAGGGGCCTGCTTGTCTTCATCCAAAAGCAATGTGCATTTTAGTCTGCCTGCCTGTCCATCTCTTCCTTGATTAATTTCACCTTCTGGCCTCAGGGCTCTTTTTGTATCCTCAACTGTTCCAGGATGACTATGTTCACTCTCCTCACTGAAATGGATCATAATACAGTGCTGTTATGGAGTGGGGGCAATTAATGAATTCTGTGAAGAAGAGGCTTGAGCACATGGCTTGAGCACATGTTCGCATTTGCCTTGGATTATATCTGCCTCTGTTGTATGGACAGACTTCTTCCACCACTAACAGTCTTCAAAGATGGACTGATCACTCCCAGTTTTCTTACTAAGCATACAATGCCTTTTTTAACCCTCTTCCCCAGTTTGGACTACCTTTGGCTTCCCCGTTTACCAGCAAGTTTCAACATTCGGTCCGTTGTGAGAAGACTTTTCAAACTCCGTTGCTTTGAAGAAAAAAAAAAACTTAAATGGCTTTTCGGGTAAGAGACGGAAAATAAAAATACGTCTGTGATAAAAGGATGCTAGGTACAAGAGCTGGCGTTTGGAGAAAAGATCAGAATTGACCCCAAAGAATTAATAAATCCAGGAGCCAACTGGTAGCTGTGGCGTGTCTGATTTTTCCCCCCCAATTCTTTGGGGAGGGGCCGAGAGTTTGTGGGGCAGGGTGGTGTTGCACAGTGGTTGAATGGCTGAATGTCTAGTTTCACACAACATGTTGACTCATTGTTGAATATTCTGTGGGGTAATGTCCAATTTATTGAACTAAAAGCTAATCAAACCGGTTGGGTTTATACAGTACTCTACATCAACTCTCAAAGAGTTAAAAGGGAAGTTAATATGTGGGCTGGATGTGGCTGCTTAGCTGCCTGGTGATCATAGTCAATTTAATGAACTAATGTGATTTCCACATAACAGGATGATTGACTGTTGAATGATTATGTGCCATCAAGTCATTTTCGACTCCTAGCAACCGCATAGATTTTCTCCATGACGATCTATTCCTCACCTGTTCTTTCACGTTTCCCAAATGATGCATTCATTGTCACTACAACTTAATCCATTTACTTTGCTGCTGGTCATCTTCTTGTTCTCTTTTCTTCCACCTTTCCCAGGATTACAGCTTTTTCCAGAGAGCTGGGTCAGAATGTGTCTGAAGTAGGATAATTTGAATCTGGTCATTTGTGCCATGAGTGAGAATTCTGCACTTATTTGCTCAATGATCTATTAGTTTGTTTTCTTGGCTGTCATAACAGGCTAGGACTGTGGAAAGTTTGCTTGGAATATTTGTTTTAAGAAACATTCCACAAAAACACTTGCTTTCCTGCGTTCTCTAAGATTGAAACGATTGCCAATCGTCAGATGATAAAGCAGAAATGGGGATTGTCACATAAATTTTGCTGTTGTGCACAATGATTATATTGGAAAGAAGGGGAAATACTCCAGATACCAAAACTAGATGCTTTCTGAATTTATTTTTAAAAGGAATTACCATTTGCTTATTCTGTTCATTTACACTTTTTGTCAATTGTCCCAAACTATAGGTTCTGGGTTTGATGCAAAAAGGACAAAAATAAGACTATTTATCCCAAAATAATTCAAAGAGATAACTTCTCAAGACATCACTCAGGATTAAAAGCAGAGTGGAGTAATGTTTTTCGGCAGCTTTACAAATTAAAAGGCAACAGGAAAAGAACTTGGAAATTGTATGGTGTAAAAAAAACATTTCTCTATAAATTTCATCCCAGATACTTAATATGTTTAAATCTCATTGTCCTGTTTTACCATTTTTCAATTTCTACAATTGAGGATTATCATTTAAAAAACACAATTCATTAGGCTTCACTGGACAATTTTCTTCCAGAATATTTCTAGTTTGTACTTCCAGCTTGCATCATTTTTTCTTCATGTTCAGGGTCCTCTTTCAGTAGTCTAGCGTAGCCTAATAAACCTGCCAAACAATAGTCGAGTAGAAACTTACTGTGTGTGTAGAATTGATAGGGAGAAGTTCCAGACATGTTGCCTTGAACTGGAGGAAACAAGATAAATAATAAAAAAATAATAACCAGTGTAAATGGATTCTAGTATTTGTGCTTTGCAATCAGGCACTGGATGTCTTTCAGTGTTGGTTGTCACATCTCCAAAATATGGGAGAATTTGGTGGAGATGACCTAAGAAATACAAGGAAGATTACTGAATTTGAGCTGATCTTAATTAGAGACACCATAACTCATTTGGCACCCTGTTATTGTGTTGGGACTACAACTCCTAGAAAATGTTTTTCAACCAATGCTGGAAGACTAGGATAGACCCGATACAACTGGAAGATGCTAAATTGAAGAAAGCTAAGACTAGTACATAAGGATCTAGATATTGGTGACTACCAACTCTCAACAGATGAGTCTCCTGATAACTACACCAGTTGGAGACCTGTCCTGCCCAGTCCAGCTCGGGCAGGAAGTCAGCGGTTAGTGTAAATTCAAAATACAAGCACAGCTATGGGCTGAATAGCTACCGGTAAGGTGGGTGGGGAGGTGAACCTGTAAAAAAAATGAAATGGCTCTCCAAGCTAATTTTCCAAGTAAAAAAGTCATCCCTGCAGCAAAACGTCTATGGAAACAGTACATAATGCTTTTGTTCCCAAGTGTGTCTATGGAGCTTCTCAGTCATCCAGGTCACGGTTGTCCCAAAGGTGCTTTTTTTCTCCAAGAGGCCACTGGACTTTCTGGTTTTTTGTTTTTTTTTTGCTTTGAAGCTGTTTCACTTCTCATCCAAGAAAGCTTCTTCAGCTCTGATGAAGCTTTCTTGGCTGAGAAGCGAAACATCTTCAAAGAAAAAAAAACCCTTTGGGATTTTGTTCCCAAGATACACCCAACTTTCCGCCAAGGTTTTGGCAATCCAGCAAGAAAAGAAAAGAAAAGAAAAGAAAAGAAAAGAAAAGAATAGAATAGAATAGAATAGAATAGAATAGAATAGAATAGAATAGAATAGAATAGAATAGGAATAAGAATAAGAATAAGAATAAGAATAAGAATAAGAATAATTTTATTTCTATACCGCCCTTCTCCCGAAGGACTCAGGGTGGTGTACAGCCTAATTAAAAACAGAATAAACATCAATTTAAAATAATTTAAAAGTATTAAATAAATTTGGCTTAATTTAAAACCCCAAAAATTTAAAACATCCAATTTAAAATTATGTTGCTAACCTAGCCTGGCGGAACAATAGGGTCTTGAGTGCGCAGCGAATAGAATAGAATAGAATAGAATAGAATAGAATAGAATAGAATTTTTATTGGCCAAGTGTGATTGGACACGCAAGGAATTTGTCTTGGTGCATACCTCTCAGTGTACATAAAATATATGTTCATCAAGAATCATAAGGTACAACACTTAATGTTAGTCATAGGTAAGTCATAAGAAGGAAGAAGACTCGGCGCTCCTTTGCGCAGAACTCAAGTCCTTGCCCGGATGCGTGGCAGGAGGCAAGCGGAGAAAGCGAGTTAGGGCCGCAAGGGGTGAAAGTGATTGCGCTAAGTCCCTAAATCCAAAGGTTATTCACCCCCACGGGCGGACTCGCGGTCTCCTGGAAGTTTATGAATGGAGCCGCCTTGGCGTTCTGCCCCAGCGCTTTCTTCTCCTATAGCCTTTAGTTAATTGGAGTTTAAACCCATGGCCGGGCCGTTCCCGCCTCTGGGGCCGCGGATTGGCTCCCTTTAAGCCACCCGACTCCTCCCACTCGCGCTGACACCTCGCGGGTGGCTGGAGTGGAGAGCGAGCGCAAAAAAGGCGAGCAGAGAAGCGGGACGGAGGTTTTCTCAAGCTCCGGGCACAACAGGGCGGGGAGGGGCGGGGTGGGGGTCGCAAAGGACTTTCTTCCCGCCGGGACCCCACCTTTCCCGGGAAGCCGCCGGACGGAGCCCTCTCTCGCCCGCGATCTCCCCCCCACCCCCAGCCTGTAAGTGTGAGCCCGGCGGCGAGGACAGATCGGGCAGGGGATGGAGCGGGTGTGACTGCGTGGCATTGTCCGTCTGCATCTGGCTGCCGCCGGCGCCTGGGCGTCTTTGCCGGCGGTGGCTTTTCGGCGCCTTTGCCTCTTTTGTGCCGACGCTGGTCGCCTATTGCGGTGTATCTTCCGTGCTTCAGAGTCCCGGGTGTTTTGTGCCTTGGCTCTGTCTGTCTGTCTGTCTGTCTGTCTGCGGTTGCTTCTGGCGGCAGAGACAACTCTGCAGGGTTGGTCCGCTTTGCCTGTAGGATGGATGCCCCCCCCTCCCACCCCGTCCCAGCCAGGGCCATTGGGTAGGGTTGGCGGTGGGCTTGCCCTTCCCCCCCCTCCGCCCATCCTTAAACCCGAGTTGCTCATCCTGGCGGGGACGATCTTCGTTTCACAGATTTAACATGGGAGGGACCCTGTAGGTCATCTAGTCCAGCCCCCTGCCCAAGCAGGAGTCCCTACACCATGTCTGATAGATGGCAGTCCAGTCTCTTCATCCTGACTTGAGAGTTAGCCCGACTTGAAACGGCGGTTGGACTTATGGTTGGAGGAGCCCAGGATTAGGGTGGTGGTGGCTTGTGCAGTTGTCCCTCTTGGTTAGTGGCAGTTTTGCTCTCTCTTGACGCCTTCCTTCCCTCCCTTCCTCCTGGCATTGCTTGCCCGCCCTGTGAGTAGTATACCCTGTGTGCATGGGAGGTGGGCATATGCTGGCACCTGCATAAGTGAGCGTTGGGTTGCAGCAGGGAGCAGGCAACCCACTGCTGCTCTCTCTCTGTGTGTGTGTGTGTGTTTAAAAGGATGCTCCCAGGAGTCCCTGCCCACATGGCCAATGCAGAGATTATGGGGAGTATAGTGTGCCTGTGTGCATGAATGAAAACGGCAGCAGATCGCCTGAAATGTTTCGTTGATTTTTGAGTTGATAACAGCGAAACCTGTACCGGATTCTACATCAGGCGATGATCCTTGACCATCATCCCCTTTCTTCCTGCTCGCGCCTGGGCACATGTTATTTCTTTGAATGGATCGGCCATCTGTGGGCTTTTGTGGGAGACCAAACTCTGTACAATATGACAGGCTTCCCGATTTTTGGGGGCTTCTCTACACCTGGGAGGTGTGCAGGGAAGGTCAGATTCTTTTCCTTGAATTGATGGGTTGGTCATCAATTCAATGCCGATGTCCATCTACCGATTTTCTATTTATTTATTTAATTGGAAAGACGCATCTGAGTAGAGAAATATGGGTTAGAACTTGGTCTTCGTTAGCTTCTGTGTCTGTGTGCAGGCATGCAGGTTGTGTGCGTGTGTGTTTCTGTAGAGGTAAGCCTATGATTGTCATCGCTCCTGCCTGTCTTTGGGTGTGCGCATTATATAATTGTTTTGTAGGTTCTTTCAGTCATCACCGCTCTTGAGAGTGAGGTACCTAGCTTGCTTTTCTACCACAGTGGTTTATCTTTGTGCTGTCTATCCCTAATTCAACTGCAGTTCCCTCTCCCACCCAGCTGGCTGGATATGATGGATTTTGTAGTCCATTACACAGCTACTGGAAAGGCAGCGAGCTGAGAAGAAATCTCACTTGGGTTTTTGTCCCCATGTGGGCATATTTGAAACCT